ACGTTTCTTTTTCTATTTATACTTAAGTTCTGATGCCTTCTTCTACTCAATTCCTATTTCACTTCCTAGTTACGTGAAAAATGTTTTCTATGATAGTGTCATATCTTTGTTTGAAAAAAAATAAGCAGGCTTCTGTGAACGAAGCCACTTCTTCGATTCAAACAAAAAAGCATAAAGAAACTAACAAGTAACAGCAGATGCACTGATATTTGATGATTCAAAATATGCTTCCGATTTGCGTAATCGACAGTGCTGACTGCCGAAGAAAACATGAGAGCGATTTGCAGGTCTTTAAATACCAGTTTCAGGCAAACTAGACTCCAGATCGAAAAACGCCACTTTTGGTCTTCCCCGTTTGTAGAACATGCCGAGTTATATAAAAGAAAAAACTTCTATGACAGTCGGATATGAGTGCGTGGTACGTTGCAACTTTTAAGAAACGTAAAAAAGATCGCCGAATAATTTCTTACTAATCATGTTTGTCTCGGTGTATTATGAGGTTCCAATGGGTATGCAAATTTAATATACCCATCCTCCACCCATGTATATGTTAAAGCTTCATCCTAGGTTAGGTCAAGTCAGGTTATGTGAAATTGTGATTCGTACTCTGAGAATACCTATCCATAGCTTATGTCTCTGTATATAGTTAGACTTCAACTAAGGCTAGGTCAAGACAACGAATTCGAATAGATGGTAGGTTTTCCTTCAGACTGAGAGATTCGTGAGCTCCGCGCGTCATTTCGTTGCTGAATCTATAATTTTGCACATTTTTTGCTTGAATCGAAGAAGTGGCTTCGTTCACAGAAGCCTGCTTGTTCTTCTTCAAACAAAGATATGACACTATCATAGAAAACATTTTTCACGTAACTAGGAAGTGAAATAGGAATTGAGTAGAAGAAGGCATCAGAACTTAAGTATAAATAGAAAAAGAAACGTACACTCAATAAAATCGGAGTCAAGGATTCAGTCAGTATACTACCTTTGTCACGAAAACTTATCAGGTTACTCATTTATTTATGGGTTGTGCGTTTGGAGTTGGATGTCTCCCCAAAAAGTATTGTGGTTGTTGGTGTTGTCAACCCGGAATGGCATGCGGCGGACTCGTGGATTATACAATTTATCATTATAAGAAAGTATCTTCATGTAATACATCGTCATGTAATGCTGTGTGCATGGATAGTTTTAGAGAATGTCGAAATACTCTTTGGTCATCGAAATGTAATGGTGCAATGACTTTATTTCAATTTAATTATTTTGTTATTTTCGGTCTAGTTCTTATGATTACTGTTTTTCTTTATATCAAGCAAGCAAAATAACAACATTAATAACAACTGATTTAATCATTATATAATACTTTCCGATATTTTCATTTTATTAGAAAATCATTATTAAGGTTATTGAAAAAATACAAATTTAAGAAGAACTGTATGAACTATTTATACGAAGTGCTATTTGTGTAAAGCTTTGTTTACACACAGAGCTCTTCGTATCGTTTATTCATTAAAGAGAGTCTGTTGATGAAATCGTTTGAATCTACCTTTAATTGTGTAACATATCTAGTACCCATGAAAACACAGTCATATTAGCCGGCTGATGATACTGTGAAGTTTCGAAAGCTCGCTGTTTATGGAAAATGATTTTATAAAAATGTTTTTCAATTATATTAAATATAGTTGTCTTTTAACACAACAACAAACCGGATACGACTCAATATAACTCTCCACAACTGAAAGATTTTTTTCGGTATTCTTATTATTTTACGCGTAGCAGAAGTTTTTGTATGTTTTTAACAAATAGCGTCCCCATATCTGGTCGAGATTCTTCATACTTGGGGTGTTGCTTGAAATTTCAATAGGATTTAGTACACACTGATTCTTAAGGGCACATTAATGGCAAAACGTTTTGCCATTTGCATGTAATAATGCAAGCCGTGGATGGAAAGAAGAATAGAAAAAGATGAAATATGCAAAAGTAAATTGTTCGTCATTGGCCATAACTGCAGATTCAACATCGAACTGCAGACGTGTGTTATTTGAATTTCATTGTCATGCTTTTCTAAGAATTGGATGCTACTGATGTAGACGTTGGTAAACGTCGAAGCGTTTGGCTGTTGAAAATAATAATTGTACCAATAGAAATACATTTCCGTAGGACAGCGTTTTTCGGGTTTTCCACTCCTGCTCAGTATTTTTCATTTTTTCATATGAAGACACGGTTAAATCGGAAAAATAAGGTCATATTCGTGATCAGCAGATTCTGCCGAATCATAAAAGAAATCTAAGAGGTCACGCAATCTTTGAATTACGCGGGCCTTACTGACAATGTTGTGTACACATAGGCATGCAGCAGTTAAAGACTAGTGTTTGGGCTTTCAGGAAAATTGTTATAAGTCACCTAGAAAGAGTGGCGCAACCTCCCGTTTTGTAGAAAAATGTTTACTTTTGAAAACTGAACTGTGGAAAAAACTTTGCCAAAAATTCATAAACAAAGTAACAACCAAATATTACCATTATATATATCATAATAATATTACCATCCGCTCATTTTAAGAACATAAATTTTTATAGGCGCAATTTAATATAAAGTAGTGTGTAAAATTATAGATTCACCTGTTCTCAGCAACGAAATGACGCGCGGAGCTCACGAATCTCTCAGTATGATGAAAAACATATCCAAACAACATGTCCATGTCCAAAGACTATTTTGAAGTGCAACCGATAAATAAATGAGTAACTTGAAGGGATTACAGGGAATTGAAGGGATTGAAGGGATACTGTGAAGTTTCGGAAGCTCGCTGTTTATGGAAAATGATTTTATAAAAATGTTTTTCAATTATATTAAATATAGTTGTCTTTTAACACAACAACAAACCGGATACGACTGAATGTAACTCTCCACAACTGAACGATTTTTTTCTGTATTATTATTGTTTTACGCGTAGCAGAAGTTTTTGTATGTTTTTAACAAATAGCGTCCGCATATCTGGTCGAGATTCTCCATACTTGGGTTGTTGCTGGAACTTTCAACAGGATTTAGTACACTCCACCGATTCTATCTCGTATTAGCGTTCTTTTTACGTTTCTTTACGTCCTGTTTAGCAAACACCAGTGTATATGAAGAGTGATTAACAAAAATCATTGTTTGCTTGTGTGTATGTTTTGTGTATGTGTGTATTATGTGTCAATGTGCTTCTTGCTTTTATTGTAGATCCGGATGAAGATCTATCCTATGTTGATTCCATACGTCAATTACAACATTCTATCATTGATGACTCGTATGCAGCTATCAAGGTATAAATTACCATTGACTTGAAGAACAATCTATTCAAAACTATAGTAGTTAAACGTTTTAATGTTGTATAAATAGATGTTGGAGGAAAATTGCGTATTTCATATAGTTCAACATTTTATCTCATCTTTTCTGTTATATTTTAGAAAGGTCGTTTTTCCCCGTACGATAATCTGAGAATTAATTCTCCTCATCATTCCAGTGATATAATCACTTATCGAAGTTTTAAAGAAAATCATCAAAATACTAATAATTCAAATCATACTGATTATTTAAGAGGGTAACTTGTCTGAGAGAAAGAAAACAGAGAGAGAACAGTCCTACCCATTCGAACTGTCTTTTAACAATTGTCTTTATCAGCTTGTCCACACCTAGTCTGTTGTATATGGTGGCATTGGAAATATGACCGGTACGCCTGATTCCAGGCATTATTCTATAGCAGCTACTTGCGAAACTGTTTAGTTTGCGTTTCGTCTTTTCCGTTATAAACCATGTTTCACTGCCGTATAGCAGGATGAATAGGCAAGATGACTGAAACAGATCAACTTTGATGGCACCTGGCAGATGATTACTTCTCTAGATTTTTTCCGGTTTCCAAAAAGCTGACCATTCTTGTGCGATTCTTATGTTTACGTCGTTTTCTGATGATTCCATGTGTGCTCCCAGATATTTAAAGTCCTGCACGCTTCCAAGGTCAACACCATTTACCTTTAATGTGTCAGCAGCATTCACATTAGTGATATATTCCGTTTTTGGAATGTTTATTTCTAGACCAGTTCTTACAGCATTCGAATTAAGAACATCTAGTTGTTGTTGCGCTTCTTGAATAGAATTTTCTAAAAGGCATGTATCATCTGCATAATCCAAGTCACTTAATCTCTTTTCCAAATGTCTTGCAGATGTCCTTTTTTCACATATAAACTCCTACTTGTCCATCTCACATCTTCTCATTATATAGTGAATGACAGTAATGAAAAGGAATGGTGCTAGGGCATCACCTTGTAATACTCCGGTAGATATTCTAAATTCTTTTGTTAACCGTCCATCTACTAGTACGCTACCTACGGATGTATCGTATAATAACCTAATTGCATCTACTATTTTTTGCGGGAATCCTTCGAAATTTCGAAGGATATTAAACATCATAACACGATTTATAGAATCAAATGCTTTTTTGAAGTCCACAAATGTTGCAACAAATGGTAGATTCTTTTTATGACATCCCTCCAAAATTCTTCTCAATATGTGTATTTGACATATGCAACTCCTACCTTGTCTGAAGCCTGCTTGATTAGCTCTCAAGATTGGATCTAAGTGTGATCTAAGCCTATTTAGCAGAATTCTATTGTATAATTTTGCGCCATCGACATTAATAATATTCCTTTATAATTGTTCATACGTGGCAGATCGCCTTTCTTAGGTACTGAAACAATCACATTTGTTGACCATTGTTTAGGAGCAATGCCCGACTCATAAACTTTAGAGCAAATGTTGTATATCTGTAGTTTGACGAAATCTCCACCATTTTTCTAAAGTTCAGTTGTAATAACTGAATCGATTCCAGGCGCTTTACCACTCTTCATTGAGTCAATGGCTATCTCAACCTCCTTCTTTTCTACGGGTCCACTTTCAATTGGCAGATCATTTGTTATTTGGTAACGGTAGATCTCGATCGTTGGTGTTTTGTTGTGTTATTTAGTGGCCGCTCGAAGTACTCCATCCATTCATTCAATAGACTCTCTATGTTTTTAATTGGTTTTCCATTCTTGTCCTTTACCTTCATTACTTTCTTTACGTTCTTGCCATTAAATCGTTAACTATTTTTCGCACATCTGTGATCTTATGTCGTTTGAACGCTATATTCAAATCAGATATTTTCTCTTTGAGATACTCCGTTTCATCCTTCTTGCATTCCTGTTCAACTTTTGAGGAGAGTTCTTTCCATTTAGAGCGGTTATCTGTTGTTCTAGTACGTTCATAGAACAATTTTGCATTATCCCGTTCTTTCATCAGCATGATTGCTCTTTCTTTAAGCCAGGTTTTCTTACTGATCTTTTTCTTGCGTCCAGATTGCAGAAGTCCAGATGCTGAGCCCTTGAGAAAATTTGGCTTCTATCAACCATTGCATGGTACAAACAATCCGAGAAAGCAGCCCCAGGACTATCTTGGTTATGTGTTCAACTTGCTAAATAATGGTATTCGCGATAAGAAGTATTGGAAAGTGATGGACATTGTAAATGATGCTAAGAGTAAGCACAAATGGAAGAAGATTGTGGTCGCCTGCTCCAGAGCAGCCGAGTGACGATGATGATGATGAGAGAACAGTCATAACGGAACAAAATTAATAACAGTGATATGCACATCCGACAAGAATCAAATAAATGGGCTCTTTCGCCCATACAGTCATTACAATTATTTGTATTTTCATACATTATATAGTCC